GTGAAGATCTATGTCTGAAGTGCTATTGCAGCTTTTCACTGAACATATTAACTTTTTATTTGATTTAACTTTAGAAGAAAACTTCGTCGACTCCATCATCAAAAAAATTTTTACTTTTTTAACGTGTTTTATTATTTTAATAAACAAAACACAGTTCCTATGTAAATTTTTCCCTCATTAGAGTTATAAATTTTGCCACCAGATGGTGTATGCCCATTTGACGGATCCCAATATCTTATCCAGATTTGATTTACTATGCAGAGTATTCAAAAACAGAAAAAAATAGGTTTCGTTTAAATGACAGTTATAGGAAAAAATTGTTCATAATGCCAGAATATGGAGTTATGCAAAAAATTGCGTGATAGCTATTCAAATGATTTTTGATTCCGTTCAACTGACTTGGCTCAAAAAAAAAAACATTTGAATCGCCGCAATTTTTTGCATATTTTGGCCTTCTGGACAACTTTTTCTGGTTGAAGCTATATATAACATAGCTGCCATTTAAACGAAACCTTATCGTTTCTATTTTTGAACACCATGTATAGTAAATCAAATCTGGATAATACAGACGATCTTGTATTAACAAAAGGAATAAATTTTGTTTAAAAAATTTTTGATTGAACTTTTTGGGCCATCCTGTATGTGTAATACTTTTGACCTCCAGGTATCCACTGATAAAAATAATATTCGAAATTCAACCCCAAAAGTTCTAATATAGCGTTTTGGAAATAAATAATACGATGATCTTGCTCAACCAAAAAATAGATCAAATTGTTTTGAACGTTGTACTTTGTTTCTTGATGGAAAACCTAAACTGTGTTGAATATTACTACCACATAAATTATTTAACTTCAAATTTAATTGTGTCTGTTTCTACATTAGTACCAACATGTACGAATAATACTGTTTCCTAGAAAAATAGGTAGAACATTTGCCCCCAATAGTTCATTATACAATTTAGTCGTATTTTAGGTGTAGGTTTTGATAAATATCAAAGAATGATGTTGCTACAGATTGTGGTAACAGAATGAGATAGAGACCAAAACCTCAAAATCAAGACAAAGACCAATTAAAAGTAAAACAAAGTTTTTATTCTGTAGATACTAATAATTAAATATGTTTGACCTCTAAAATTAATTTAAGTTAACGGTAGATGATGATACTTAATTAGAGGTGTTTTTTCAAGTCGTTAAGAAGTCACAATTTCACAAATTATAATCATGCAAGTACACTTTTCGTTTTAATAAGCTGTTATTAGACTTGCCTGTAATTAAATACAATTAGTTTACTATGTACAGTCCGTAGAAAGCAAGTCGATAATCTTGCGTAAGGAAAATAATTTGCAATGTTTATACGCATTTTCAATGATGAAAATCGAGACTAATCGGTCATATATATACTTAGATATCGAATGAGTTTATAAACAAATTATAATTTACATGGCATTTGGGTCTCACTGCAAACTGACGCAATCTACACAATCGTTACAACAAATTGTTTTTCTGTTTTAGAGAATTTTGAAGAAAACAGTTGCATCGGTACTGATACTTGTTGTAGTTACTCATAATCTCCGAAAATATTAAAATCAGTTGAAAGGTATTTTATAAGTCGCTAGTGATGAGCAAAGTAAGACTAAGACTAAGACCAAGACTGTCCCGGTACAAATTTTTCTGTTTACCATCACATAATTCTTTACGCGAAGAAAAATTTCTTAAGTTTTCTTATTTTGCTTGTTAATTATTATACAATAAATTTACAAATATTTTAACAAATACATGATCATCATCATAATATAGTTAGTCCTAAGACTGGTTATTGGGCAAGCGTTTCCACTTTTCCTTATCCTGAGTTAATCTTCGCATTTCCTTAAAACTTGAACAACCCACATACTTAACTATCTGTATCTATGTCAGTAATCATATCTAGGTCTACCTCTACTCCTCTTAACTTNGGAAGGTCCTCTTCAGCCTGCTTTCAGGAATCGTGGAAATGGGTGAGTGGTAGTTCGGGTGAGAAAGATGAGACAGACGAAATGAAGACAGAAGAGAATGAAAGATTATCTGTGGAATATTACTGCCCCAGCATTTGCGTAAGTGATCCGAGGAAACCACAGAAAAACTTGGACCAAGGCAGACGGACCCGGAATCGAACTGGCGTCCTCCCGAATGCTAAGCAATGGTCTAAATTTGGGCATGTTAGCAGCATCGGACTTTAAACAAAGTTCAACATTGTTAGGAATTTAGAAAAGCAAAGACGTTTGTTTAATGATATAATTCCAACCATGAAACATTTCCTAAATTAACAAGAGCGTGTTGAAAACGCAGCAAATGACTACAGTCCTAAGTGGAAACAAGAAAAAAAAATACGTCTATTCCCACAGATAAATTATTGTAGATTATGCCGACTTTGATCGTTCAAACTATACTTAATTATTCAACTATTATGCATTTAGTAACTTTGGAAAGGACAATGCGTCCTTATTAGAATTACCCCAAAGAGCGAGTAGGTACTTAATCCATTAGTAAAAAGTAAACATTCAAATTTAATTGTTCAGTGTTCTATAAATGTTGAGTCAACTTTTATCAGTTTACCGATTGTTTGACCTAATAAATGTGTGAATTAATTCCATTTTATCCAAACAAAACAGAATTAATTCACACCACGGTGCAAATTTACTTTTTTTTTTCGTCATTTGCAAGTTAGATTAGTTATTTTTGTGTGGTGTCCAAAAAGCGTACACATCACACTTGCACGCATTTACACAATACGTATATGTGTATATTTATTCGCCCTCAAAACTAGTACAAACAAAAAGCTATCTCCGCGTCATTCCTGACTTTGCTCAAGGACCATTAAAGCATAATTTTGTATGTTTGCACTTGTTTATACGTATGTACTATAAGTACATTTCACTACTATAGGCATTAGATAATTTATTGAAGAAGATTAATCTACATCTTGAAGCACTTGAACGACCGAACTCTACTCAAGGTAGAATACAAAACGTCTAGCTAGATCTAGTGTGTTTAACCTATTGTTCTTAGTTTATAAACCAAAGTTTTTTACCATATCATCATCATTAGGCCGTCAGTCCTAAGACTGGTTGGACACGCATCTCCACACTTTACTATCCTGACCTAATCTTTGCATTTCCCTAAGACTAGAACATCCCACATCCTTAACCATTTGCGAACAGTAATCTAATCTACGTCTACCTTTACTCGTCTTAACTCCTGTATATTTATCCCTACAGTTGTACTGTATTTAATGATGTTCGCGTCTTCGATGTATAAATTAAAAAGTAGCGGTGACACTGTGCATCCCTATCTGACTCCCTTCCTAATATTTACTTCTCTACGTTGCTGCTCAAACTATAGCTACCTGTTGTTCTTTATACAAACTGTGTATTACACTTCTATCTCTCTATCTCATCCCTGCATTATTAAGTATATTTAGCATCTTGTCCCATTTAATACTGACAAAAGCTTGTTCTAAATCTACGAATGCTTTTCCTTTTACTATCTGTCGTGTTCTCTATTGTTACCCCGGAAAGGTAGAATACTTGATAATGCATGTATATTTTTCACGTCATATTATTAATTAATATATTTAGGATTGAAAATACTCTCATACTTTGCAATGTATTTGGTAAATGTGCAAATGTTTACCTCATTTTAATTTGAGTTGCTGGAATCATGGTCCGATTTGTTAAGTCCTTGGGCTCTTTGTCTATGTCATTTCTGATGTCGCATTTCTTCCTGAAAATAATACAATGTTATTTTTGATATTTGTTTGCGCGACTGTGTTCAAAGTGGAACGCGGTAAATATCTGAATCGAGGCAAAATATCTTAAAAACTATAATGTTTCAAAATCGTTCATAGTTTTTACGGACAAGTTAAAATTAACGAAGAAAATATGACATTATGTGATCTGGTATTTTATGTTTTTTTTTTGTTGTACCTTACATCATCAGAATAACTGAACTTTGTCATTCATGCGATGCACTCATTTAACACCCATCTCTTCGTACCCAACCCCTGTGGTTCGAAACTAATATAGAAATAGAAGACAAATTAGAAGAAATCGCTGATTTTCGATATTTAGGGGACCAGATAACTCATATTGGGAAAAACGGTAGAAATGTAAAACAAGGAATAGTACATTTTTAACAAAAAGAAATTACTTTTGTTCTCACAATCGGTTAATATGGAAATTGGAAATAATTTACTAAATTATAATCATGCAAGTACACTTTTCGTTTTAATAAGCTGTTATTAGACTTGCCTGTAATTAAATGCAAGTAGAAAGCAAGTCGATAATCTTGCGTAAGGAAAATAATTTGCAATGTTTATACGCATTTTCAATGATGAAAATCGAGACTAATCGGTCATATATATACTTAGATATCGAATGAGTTTATAAACAAATTATAATTTACATGGCATTTGGGTCTCACTGCAAACTGACGCAATTTACACGATCATTACAACAAATTGTTTTTCTGTTTTAGAGAATTTTGAAGAAAACAGTTGCATCGGTACTGATACTTGTTGTAGTTACTCATAATCTCCGAAAATATTAAAATCAGTTGAAAGGTATTTTATAAGTCGCTAGTGATGAGCAAAGTAAGACTAAGACTAAGACCAAGACTGTCCCGGTACAAATTTTTCTGTTTACCATCACATAATTCTTTACGCGAAGAAAAATTTCTTAAGTTTTCTTATTTTGCTTGTTAATTATTATACAATAAATTTACAAATATTTTAACAAATACATGATCATCATCATAATATAGTTAGTCCTAAGACTGGTTATTGGGCAAGCGTTTCCACTTTTCCTTATCCTGAGTTAATCTTCGCATTNTTGAGTTCTTTTATTTGATAAAATTCCTTTTAAAATATAATTTAACGATTAATAATAAATTAAATCGTAAAAATTCACCGAGTCTGCTGATACGAAATAAGACCTTTCCTCCAGAAACAAAAGAAAATAGAAACCTTCACCAACGTCATACTGTCGTTCGTTTCATTTTTTTTTTTTTCATTCAACTGTGAACTTTAAACGCTTAGAGCAAATGAAATTCTGTAGCGTTTGGTTAAAGCAGTAAGTTCTTTCGGGCAATGGGACTATTCATTAACCCGGAGCCCAAAAACTAATTCGGTGTTCGTCGTAATAAATCTCTTGTATTTGTATAAGTTAATTGAAAGCTAAATGAGAATTTCCTAGTATTACCAATGTTACCGCTTTCCTTTCGGAACGATACAAGAAAGTTAATATTTATCCAACCATATGACCCAAAGTCGCGTTCTTATATTGTTCCATACGGACCTCTAAGCCGCGATCCTCGCTGGATTAATTTATGTATGTAATACGCTCGACTTGAATATATTCTATTGAAGAAGACATTTGCCCTTAAATTAGCAATAAGTAGATTATATAAAGATTCGGTAGCATTCTAGAGATCTACACCCTTCAAAGAATAATAAAAATAGTGAGTGAATGCCTATCTATACTACAATGAGAAAAGTTGTAGAGCTAATAAAACTTGTTAAAAAAAATCCGAAACGACATATGTCTGTAGTATGTTAATGTGAATTCTCAAATTGATAAAATATAACTCTTAATAAATACTAACTGCATTCCAAGCGCGCACAGTTGCGGGAATAACTAGGCAATATATTTAATATATTTTCAACTACAGGGGTTGGTTTTAAAGACTGTCGCTCCAAAGGCCACTAAAGCTCTTAAACCGAGTCCCATAGCCTCATAAGAGTTATATGGTGAGATAACTTTCCATGCTCTTTCCATGAGAAGGTTTCGGTTTTCATCTGCAGGGGTTGGTTTCAAAAATAAGCGGGTTGAAACACTATCGCCACAAAGGAATCCATAATAGAGAATCAGTGAAGGTGTGAATTGAGTTCCAACATCTGGACAGAACGTTACAGTATGTTAGATTTTTCCTGAATGCATTACATCTACAAGGTTCGAGAATGTTTTAGAATTTTCCAGAAGGTTCGTGAATATTCCCAATTATTAACTACTTTTCCTGCACGAAACGAAGCCAATCCGACTTAAATGTAATAATAAGCGTAGTTTGTCCGTACGTGCCCCGCTATTGGAGGCCCTGGGCACATAAGCCTTATCGGGGTCCCTACAGCTTTAACAGAGAATTAGTTTGGTTTATCAACAATTATTTGTTTCTTTCTATTCACAATAAATGAATAGATAATTGTAATATGCCTCGGAAAAGTTGATAACTCTATCATTCTCAGGGTGGTGCAAAATTGTGTTTTTTGAAAAGGCACCCTTCTAGTTTTCAGATATGCAAAATCGTCAACCAGTTGTTCAAACTCTTTTTCTTTGAGTATATCCCATTCTATGGACTGATCAATCTTTCTTGAAGCATTGTTCGTCTTAACTTATTTTTTATTCTTTTCCGTTTAAAGAAGGAGCGTTCGCCACTANCAGTTGTTCAAACTCTTTGTCTTTGAGCATATCCCATTCTATGGACTGATCAATCTTTCTTGAAGCATTGTTCGTCTTAACTTATTTTTTATTCTTTTCCGTTTAAAGAAGGAGCGTTCGCCACTACAGTTAGTTACCATCATGTTTAAGAATCATCAATGCAATTTCTACATTTGGAAATGTGTCTTCAACTCGGTTTTTTTGCAAAACTTCTGGAATACTATTAGTTTGCCAAATACAGACATTCTATTTCTCGTTAACATTTTCCTAGCGGCAAATTCATTGCAACTTTGTCTCAGAATTTAGACTTTTCAAGCGAAAACAATGCCAACAATAACCAATGTCCTTGTACAAACTCATTCGCTGTTTTAGATGCACGCTTAGGGTATCACTTATGGGAAGTAAGGTATTTCTACTTTAATATCTCTTCCCAACTCAGTTGGACTATCAGTGCAGAGTCACCAAAAAATGTCTGGCGCGAACTTCTAAGTCTTATTCTTTGAGACAAGCCCTTGTTGTTCTGTATTTTTCTCATTGGTGAGCGATTCGAAGTAATAAAATTTCAGAATATGTAAATGTTTGAAGAATCACCTACATTTAGGTATGCTCGCGTATATAGCATACAAAAGCGATTATGCAAGTAAATATTCTAACAGCAGTTATTGATTAATTTTCTTAAAATAGTTATCGACTTTTGGTTGGCGGATAGATCTGGCAGGAACTATATAGGGGGCTTCCGTTGATTGTGGGGCCCTGGGGGCTTCCGTTGATTGTGGGGCCCTGGGCACTTGCCCAGAGTGCCCAATGGAAAAGAGGGGCCTACTCTTGAGGGTTATATGGTGTAATAGATTCCCATCTCCCATCCATGACAAGGTTTCAGTTTCCAGTTGCAAGTGTTGATTTCAAAGATACGGTGGGAGCTGAAGGAGTATCATCCTAAAGGACTCCATAATAGACAGTCAGTAAAAGTGTTAATTGAGTTCCCACGCCTGATGCTCAAAACCTTACAGAATATCACAAATTTTTCCTGAATGCCCTCTACATCCACAGGTTCGATTGTGGGGCCCTGGGCACTTGCCCGGAGTGCCCAATGGAAAAGAGGGGCCTACTCGTGAGGGCTATATGGTGTGATAGATTCCCATCCCCCATCCATGAGAAGGTTTCAGTTTCCAGTTGCAGGTGTTGATTTCAAAGATACGGTGGGAGCTGAAAGAGTATTTATCCTAAAGGACTCCATAATAGACAGTCAGTAAAAATGTTAATTGAGTTCCCCGACGCCTGATGCTCAAAACCTTACAGAATATCACAGATTTTTCCTGAATGCCCTCTACATCCACAGTTTCGAGAATTTTATAAAAGGTTCGAGAACGTTCCCAAATGGTGACTAACTTTTTCTGAGCGAAAAAAAGGTAATCCGACTTGTTTAAAATAAAACTCGGTGTGTGCTTCAACAATACATCATAGAACTGTAGAGATACTAATAAAAATAAAAATCGAAACCCAATGATGTTACTTTTACATATTTTTTATTTAAATTTAGTAATCGTTTCAAAGTTACTCAATAAGAGCCCTTGAGTATTAACGAGCCCACATTGAGATCGTACAAGGTGCCGTGTATTTTATTTCTCGTTCTAGAATGTACGTATAAGTTTAATATGCCAACAGAGAGCCTGGAGCGTCGCGATCGTCGGAATTAGGCGTGATCTAATAAGATATCGTTTCAATTCTCGAATGAGAATAATTAAATATTGTTTAAGAAGATCTTTAAGCCTTAACGTTTTTAATAGTGGGCGTCTTGCATCTCATCGTGTTTTTCTTATTTGCTCAGTGGCGGTTTGTCCTTAACTGTTGCGAAGTTGCAGAGCGCAGACTATTTCTGATCGTGACAAAAACATTGAAATTAAGTACAAGTATATCTTTTCCACGAGTGTCATTTTCCTAGTCCGTATAAAAACTGGAAAAAATTATGAATTTGACTTTCTTTGCAAGATTTTTCATTTCCAGTTGTGAAAGTCCTGGAAAAATTTATTAAAACAACATTGTTAATTATTATAGAACAAAAAATTCATTGTGGTCAGTTTTGTAACGCAACTATCTCACGTGGATGGCGATTTCGATTTTCTACAGAATCCAGACAAACACTACCTACTACCTTTAGACAGCGTTTGATGAATTACTAGAAACAGCGTAGAGAAAACGCCATCTTTAGAAAATTGCTACATGCAACGTTCGACAAGGTACCTAATAATATCGAACCCACGACATTGCTACCCCTATGCAGTATAATCATAA